AGGAGACAAACCAATCCATTGAAACTGACCCCAAAATGACACCGATGTTCAAATTAGTAGATATGGACATTAAAAGAGTTATTATAACTGCATTCTATGTATTCAAGAAGCTAGAGGAAAGGTGGAACATATTAAATAGACACATGAAAGATATAAAAAAAGACTCCAATTGAACTTCTATAGATGAAAAATTCACTTGATGGGATTACTGGCACATTAGATATTGCAAAATAGAACATTAGTAGACTTGAAGACATGACAAGAGATATTATCCAAAATAAAACACAGAAAGAAAAAGCCAGAAAAATCAAACAAATACAGCATCAGTGAGTTGTGGGACAACTTCAAGCAGTGAAATGAATATGAATTCAGAGTCCCCAGTGGAGAGGAGGGGGGAAGACATAAAAATATTTGAAGAAATAATGACCAAAATTTTTCCACACTTGATGAAAACTATAAATTTTCAGATGCAAGAATCTCAATGAAATCAAAGCCCAAGAAACACGAAGAAAACGACACCAAGCCCCATCATGATTAAATTGCTCAAATCAGTGATAAAGAGAAAATTTTAAAAGTATCCAGAAAAAATAAGATACGTTAATAAGAGAAGATCAAAGCTAAAGATAATAGCAGATTTCTCATCAGGAACAATGTAACTATAAGACTGTGGAGAAACTAAAAGAAAAAACAGTACTATCAACCTAGAAATGAAGTACTGAAAAAAAAAAGTCCTGTCAACTAGAATAATTTACCCAGTGAACACAGCAATCAAAAATGAAGGCAAAATAAACCCATTTTCAGACATACAAAAACTACAAGAATTAATCACCAGCAGATCTGAGCCAAAAGAAATGTTAAGTGCAGTCCTTCATGGAGAAGGAAAATGATAACCAAATCCCCAAATCTGGTTATACACAAAGGAATGAAGAACACTGAAAACGGTAACTATGAGGACCAATATAAGGACTTACAAAATTATTTAATTCTCTCCAAAAGACTGTTTCAAGCAAAAATAATAATAATGCATTCTGGGGTTTATAAAATATGTTATGAATAAAATAATAAAGATAAGAGTGGAAATCAATGAAATAGAAAACAAAAATCAAATGGAGAAAAAAAACCAATGAAATAAAATGTTGATTCCTTGAGGTCAATAAAATTGATAAACCTCTAGCCAGATGGATCAGGAAAAAAAGGGAGAAGACACTCCTGATGTGGGAAAAATTTAAAATACTAAGGTTTATGAGGAAGATCTTCTGGTTTAAACCTGATTTGGCCTGATATTTTATTTTAACGAAAGCAGCCTGACTTACGGCCCGACAAACATACATTGTACATCTGCTTTATCTTCCTATCCCAAAGCAAAGCCTGCACTCTTTGAGGATAGGGATGAACGCTTCCCTTCCTCTGATGTCAATACAGGTACTGTTTTGAAGATAAGTTTTTCTTCCCAGAAAGCAGGGTCAAGTTGACCTGCTGTGTACACACTAAACTGCAAAATACAGTTTATACAAAATACAAAATATCTCCTTGAGACCTTAAAAAAATGTATCCCTGTCATGCTTGATGTATGTTTTTTGTTCTGAAATAGTATATAATTATGCTGCAAACCATGCTTCTCCAGAACCCCTTCTCCCTTTGTGGAGACTGCCTTCCCAGCTCAAGTAAAATTCACCTTTTCTCTCTTCTCTATAGAATGGTTCTTGGTTATTTGCATCGATATTACTAATTACTAATATCAGGAATGAGAGAGGTAACCTCAGCACTAATTCTATAGATATTAAATGGATAATGGATAAGGGAATATTACGAGCAACTTTACGCTGATAAATCAGACAACTTAGATGAAATGAACAAATTCCTCAAAAGATACAAATTATTCAAGTTTACTTAAGAAAACAATCTATTTTTCTAAATAGCGTTACGTTATATCTATTAAAGAAATTGAAACTGCAGTAAAAAACCTTCTCACAAAGAAAACTTCAGGCCTAGATGACTTTACTGGTGAATTCTGTCTTCAATTTTTAACAAAGTAATACATGGTGATTAAAATACATGCAATTATACAGAAGCATTTCAAATAAAAATCAAAAGTCAGCATATCACATCCAACTCCCCACAGTTATCCATTTTTTAAAAGTACTTTGAGGTGTATCATTCTAGATTTTTATGTTATGTACACACAGACACGTATATAAACATCCAGTTAAACAACATAAATGATATAATATTCCCTGAGCTTGCTTAATCTCATTTAACATAGTACAAATGTCTTGTGTCAGAACTCAAAGCTCTATATAAATTCTTTTTGAATAGCTGCATAATACTTCAATGCAGGATATTGTATTATTTTCTCCATTCCTCTGTTGATGGAATAAATTTGGGTTGTGCTACGGACTGAATGTTTGTGTTCCCCCAAAATTCATGTGTTGAAGCCCCAATGCCCAATGTAACTGTATTTGGAGATGAGGCCTTTCGGGATGTAATTACAGTTAAGCGAGGTCATAAGGGTGGAGCTCTGATTCAATAGGATTAGCATCCTTATAAGAAGAGAAAGGAGAGAGCTCCCCTGAGCACGCTCTCTCTCCCCGACGTGAGGACGCAATGAGAAGGTGGCCATTTGCAAGCCAGGAAGAGAGCCCACACCACGAACTGAAATGGCCAGCACTTTCACCCTCTAGAACTGTGAGAAACAAATTTCTGCCGTTTACCACTCAGTCTATGGTATTTTGTTACAGCAGCCTGAGCTGACAAATAAATATTGCCTTCTGTTTTTGTTTTGCTACTATAAAAACATTGCACTGAAATTCCTTGTACATTTGTCTTTGCACACTCCTGCTAGTAGTTTTGTAGCAGATGTTTCTGGAAGTCTGATTGCTTGGTTATGGAGTGTGCACATTTAACATTTGGGTAGATACTTATGTTATTTTTTTGGCAGTGCCTAGCTTTGTATTCAGATGCTCCACAGGGATATCATTCTGGAATAGTAAGGCCATGTCCCCACCACAGCCTAGAATCTGCCTTCATATTTGGAATGACAGTCAGGTAGAGACAGTTATCCACCCACTTTCTCCACAGGAGCACTACTGACATGCTCAGCTGGAAATTGCCTTGTGTCTGGCACTGTGATGGTGCCCTATCCAACATTTATCATCTGTAGTCACTGGGCACCCAACGCCAAGCAGCACTCCATCCCTAGTCATTGCAATACCCCTCAAAGTCTCATACAGTTTCAAAGACCCCTGAGGGGGTACCTTTCCCACTCCTAGAACCTCCAAAACATGTATCAAGTTTAAAAATATCATAGTTAAAGGGAACAGTTTTGCTACCCATAGGTTTGTTACCAATGAGTTGTTTTACTAAGCTATTATTGAAGTTAGCATCTGCAATCTTTTTTTGATTCTAATTCCAACTACTTTTTGGTAGCCAAGTCCTTCATTAATTTCGGTCGAGTTTCACATATAAATGGACTCAACCCATAGCATAAACTTTACTAAAAGAAAAATTTCAAATAAACAGAACAATATAAAGAATATCTATGTATCCATTACTCAGAATTAAAAGATCAACATTTTGCAATATTAGGTAGAATTCTTTTAAAAATTTTACTTTAGAACTATAACATAGATATCATGTATGGCCCCTTTTATCTTTACTCAGCCACTTCCATTAAACTAGTGTGTATCTTTCCCTCTATATTTGTGACAGGCAGAATAACAGTCTCCCAAAGTTGTCTATGGTCTAACCTCTGGCACCTGTGAATATGTTTCCTTACACGCAAAACGGAACTAAGGTTGCACGTATGATTTAGGTGAAGGACCTTGAGATGGAGAGAGTTGCTAGGATTACCCAGGTGGGCCCAATCTAATCACACGAGCCCATAAATCAGAGAACCCTTCCCAGCTGTGGTCAGAGAGTGAGTTGTGACTATGCAAGAAGGTTCAGAGAGATGTGATGTTGCTGATTTTGAAGATGGAGGAAGGGGGTCACAAGCCAAGGAATGCAGGCAGCCTCTGGAAACTGGAGAAGGCAAGGAAATGGATTCTCCTCTAGAGCCCCCAAAAGGAATTTAGCCCTGCTGAACAGCCCAGTGAGACCCTTGTCAGACTTCTGACCTAGAAATCGTTAAGATAATGAATTTGTCTTGGCTTAAGCCAGTGAATTTGTGGTGATTTGTTACAGCAGGGGTATGAAAATAAGACAATATTACATACTGTTACTATATGTGTTTATTCATAATCAATGTATAATTATGGTTTTGATTTTTAAAACCTGGCCTAAATTTAACATTTGTAGTAATGTATTGCCTATACTTATAAATCCCTTTCAGAGCTGATTAACACAAACATGCCATTATGTATACCTGACCGCTAGTTGCAGTGGAGCATAACTTATTATTATCTTAAGACAAAGAGGCTAAGGCCTGGACTGGGGAAAACCTGGGCTCAAGCAAGGGTTGTCAGATAAAATACAGGGTGCCCTGTTAAATTTGAATTTTAGATAAACATGAATAGTTTCTTAGTATAATTGCAAATATTGCACGGAACACACGTTATTTGCTAAAACTGTACACCCAGGGCAAGATAACTTTTGTGACCCACGTCTCATTACCAGTTTCATACTTCAAATCGGAATAAGAACGCCTGCTTTATGGAGCTGTTAAATCCAAGTCCAAGTCAATCTCTTTAAAAGCACTAGATTTTTCAAAAGAATGACGGTTTAGATAAACGAGTTTGGGCCTGGCCCTCGGCCTCTGGCGGGGGACCTCGGCCGCCCCCAGGCCGCGCGCTGGGTTTGGAGGTGCGGGACCCGCGTGCCAGGCCCGCTCTGTCCTCCTTCCTGACGGGCCAGCCAGGGCGCGAGTTCTGCGTCCCCAGGGAGGCCTATGTCGCCGGTCCCGTCCACTGCAGCTACCCACCCTCCACCGCGCAATACGCCTCCGCCGGCTGTTTTGGACTCTCCCGGCTTCCGCCTTCCGGGCGGTCACGTGCCGCTGGTCACGTGACCGGCGCTCCTGTCATTCTGCGGCGGCTCCGGCTTCCTCCTGCCAGTGCCGCCCTCAACGTCTCGGTGCGGGAACGCTTCCCTTTCCGGCGCCGATTCTCTCCCCGCCGCTCTGGCCTCCGGACCGGGCAGGAGACGCAGACTCGGCTCTGACCAGGCGCCCCCGCCCGGCGGAGGCTTCGACGCCCCGGACCGCCGCATCCTCACCGCCGCCTTCGGTGTGTTGTAGGGCCCCGGGGGTTGGCGAAGTGGGGCCGCGCTCAGGTGGGTTCGTCTCCGGCACCAGGCCGAGGGAGGCGACCCCTGCGGTTCCTCCGGCTTGCCCGGTGCGTGCTGGTTTCTCGCGCCCAGGCCCCGCCTGCCCTCCGGTTCCGGTTCCCGGCGTCTACTTCAGGCCTCGGCTGGGTTTACGAAACCGCGGAGCCTGCCCCGCAGGGGCGACGACGTGAGGGGCGAGCGGGGAGAGGAGGACAGCTAAAAGGTGTGCTTTCCCCGGGCTTGGGCCACAGCCCTGGCCTGCCGGAGGTTCGAGTTGGTCAGGAACCTAGGTGACCGCCCCGAGACCCCTCCAGCGACACCGAGAGAGGCCGCTGGGGCTGAGCCTGCGTGGTTCCAGGGCTCCAGCTCGGCCCGGACGGAGCCTGTTTGTGCCTGGGCCCTGCCAGGCCGCTTCGATCTTGCTTGTTTAGGCAGCAAATCCTCAGATACAGAGATTAAGTTCCAAACCGACGAAGGTCATTGGGATCCTGGGATAGAATTTTGGGTATGATTTTTAGCTGCTTTGTAGCATAACTTTGAATTTATATGTTGTGAAAAGGAACATATGTTTTGTGTCGTGGTAGAAATGAGGCTTAAACTTTTATCTGTTAGTTTTGGAATGAGAATTACTCAAAAGCTCATTATTGTAGGTTCTTGTCAACAGACCAGACTCCCATTGTTGGCGGTACCTAAATTGTAATTGGTATTTGTTTCAAAAATTTGTCGCAAAATTGATTTTGAAAATACTGTGAACTGTTGAAAAAAGAAAGCTCTGTCTTCTAAGAAATTATGTTCGCACTTTGGTTGGGTATTTTAATTTGAGTAATTTTAGAAAGGACTTATAGGTTTTTCATACGTCACTTCAAAATGATGCTTAGTAAATGTAAATAAAATAATTGGTCCTATTTGTCTTATATAGTTCTTATGTTTTCTCTTTCGGAAGAGGAAAGTTGATTCCAGTTGTGTACATTTAAAATACTTTCCTATTTTGTATGCCTATTCTATTTAAGTATGATTTCTGATGTTAATCTTAAAGGGCTACTTTAAAAACCTTACTGCAATATTAGTGCCAATAATTTAAAAACCTTTTCTGGAAAAGTAAAAACCTGTAGAGAACATTTTTATGGAGCAGTGCATAATTGAGCAAGATTTGAAATATAATAATATTGATATTTAATATTTAGGATATTTAATATTTGAGTTGAATACCTGGAGAGAGAGTGATAATGATGATATTAATAATGATAGTAGCAGTTGTTAAGAAATAATAAGACCCGGTATTCTGGTTTTACCATGCATCAAAATTGAAGATCTGTTGAGAAATATTCAAGATCGTCAAGTTTAGATGACCAAAATGGATATCCGGGGTGCAGTGGATGCTGCTGTTCCAACCAACATTATTGCTGCCAAGGCTGCAGAAGTTCGTGCGAACAAGGTGAACTGGCAGTCCTATCTTCAGTAAGTACCGATTTGCTGTGAATCATGGCTAATCATGTGCTTTTGCATCAGACTTTTTCATGGTCATGCTTCTATGAGAGAAATACTGGAAAAAGGCTAATAAATGTCGAAGAAAACACTTCCTCCTCGGAATGATTAGCTGTCACAGGGAGACGGTGTAGTGTGGGGGAAAATTTGTGCTTTTTGAGTGAGTGGGAAGCATGGGAGGAGTGTTCATGGGCTATGAAGAACTATATGTGTATAGCCATGGGCTGTGGGCTATGGAGAGCAGGAAAGGATAATGTACAAAGCCTGCCAGACTGGCTCAGTGTGCCTTGGTGATCAGTGGGGGGACAGATGGTGTTGCACAATGGCTCCTACAGCTAGTAAAAAGCGTGGATATTTGAGTTTCAAGACCTGGGTTTGGATTCTGGTTCTTCACTCTACTAATTTGGGGATCTTAGGCAGATCCCTTAACTTCTCTGAGGTTCATTAAGGTAAATGTGAAATGAGGATACATATCCCACAGGGTTGTTGCTGAAATAATGTATTTAAAGTATTAGCATAGTTTAATACAAGCATTAGTATGTTGAATGCACTGTCAATAAATTTTAGTTCTTTCCCCTTCCTCCTTATGTGTATTAAGATTTAGCATGCTGGTGTTCTGTGTTTATCTGTAAAGTAAGTGTTCATTATTCTTGACCGTATTTTATCAAATTGACTTTACTTCATATCTGTTTATTTTGGCATGTTTATAACAGTGAATTATTAAGGAAATTCAGTTCAAATTTGCATATACGTTTAGAAAAACAAATTGGGGAATCTTTAGTTTTATATATAGCAGTTTGTTTTAAGAGGGATATGCAGTGCACAAAAATGATCCTTTTATTTCTGTTAATTTAGTCGGTCATCAAACATTTATTGATCACCTGCCAGGTCGGTGTTTTTCTAGGCTTTGGGGCTACAAAAAGATAAACTCATAATCTAGTAGGGAAGTCAGATATATAAACAGATCACTTTAATTCAGCATGTTAACTGTGATAATAGAAAGGTGTCCAGAGAATGATGTGTGCACAGAAAAAGGACAGCTAGTCCTAGCTCCAGGAAGTTTTCCTGAAGTGGATGTTTCCTAAACAGAGTTCTAAAGGATGAGTGGTATTTAACCATGTGACAGGAGGGAAAAACTTTCCAAGCGGAACAGAAAGTGTGAGCAAAGGCAGGGAATTAAAAACAGCCTGCTGGGTGGGGAATAATACATGTTTTGGAGGCAACCAGTGGGAGAGCTGAGGCTGGAGAGGCAGGCAGGGGCCAATTGTGAAGGGCCTGTGTGCCAGTGGAAGGAGTTTGGACTTGATCCTGTCAGTCAGTGCTTTTCAAGCTGATTCTTAAGCTGTGAAACCCGTGGTTCACGTGAAGTCTGATAAGGAAGCTCAACATGGAAAACAGATGAAAATGGTAGTTGAGTGGAGGTGGGAGTGTTCGTCTCAGAGCCTTCTTTTGAGACCATTCACCATCCTCATGAGGGTTCCAGGGGCACAATTGCCTTTTTTTTAAACCACTTTATTGAGGTATGATTGACATACACAAGGTATACAACTTGATGGGTTTGGAGGTAAGTATACACTTATGAAACCATCACTACAATCTGTGCCGTAAACCTATTTGTCACCTCCAAAAGTTTCCTGTCCTCTCTTTATTTTACTTTATTTTGTGATAAGAACCCTTAATGTAGGGTTTATCCTCTTAGCGAATTTTTAAGTATACAGTACGCTATTGTTAACTATAGGCACTGTGACGTACGGTAGCTTTGTAGGACTTATTCATCTTGTATAACTGAAACTTTATATCCTTTGGCTGATACCTCCCCATTTCTCCCTCTCCCCAACCCCTGGCAGCCACCATTCTACTCTCTGCTTCTATGAGTTTGACTTGTTTAGATTACTCATATGAGTGGGATCATGTAATGTTTGTTCTTTTGTGTCTGGCTTATATCACTTAGTCTAATGTTGTCCAGGTTCATGCATGTTGTCACAAATGGCAAGATTTCCTTCTTTTTTTCAGGCTGAATAATATTCCATTTTTTGTAAATACCACATTATCCATTTATTTGTCCACAGGTACTTAGGTTGTTTCTCTAACTTGGCTATTGTGAATAATACTGCAGTGAACATGGGAATGCAGATATCTCTTTGAGATCCTGATTTCAATTCCTTTGGATATATACCCAGAAGTGGGATTGCTGGATCATATGGTAGTTCTATTTTTAATTTTTTGAGGGACTTCCAAACTGTTTTCCATAATGACTTCACCAATATACATTCCCACCAACAGTTATAAAAAGATTCCCTTTTCTCCACATCCTCACCGGCACTTTTCTTCTGTTTTTTGATAATAGCCGTCCTGACAGGTGGGAGGTGATATTTCATTGTAGTTTTGGTTTGCATTTCCCTGATGATTAGTGATTCGAGCACCTTTTCACATTTTTTTTTTTTTTTCCGTGAGGAGAATCAACCGTGTGCTAACATCTGCCAATCCTCCTCTTCTTTTGCTGAGGAAGACTCGCCCTGGGCTAACATCCGTTGTATGGGATGCCGCCAGAGCATGGCTTGCCAAGCGGTGCATCGGTGCACGCCCGGGATCTGAACCGGCGAACCCCGGGCCGCCGCAGCAGAGCACGCGCACTTAACCGCTTGCACCACCGGGCCGGCCTCCCTTATATATTTTGGATATTAACTCTTTGTCAGATACGTGGTTTCCAGATATTTTCTTCCATTCTGTAGGTTGCCTTTTCACTGTGTTGATTGTTCCCTGTGCTGTGCAGAAGCTTTTTAGTTTGCTATAATCCCATTTGTCTAATTTTGCTTCTGTTGCCTGTGCTTTTGATATTGTATCCAAGAAATCATTGCCAAGGCCAACATCAAGAAGGTTTTTCACTGTTTTCTTCTAGGAGTTTTACGGTTTCAGGTCTTATATTTAAGTCTTTAATCCATTTTGAGTTGCCTATTGTGCATTGTGTAAGATAAGGGTCCAATTTCATTCTTTTGCGTGTAGCTATGCAGTTTTCCAACACCATTTATTGAAGAGACTATCTTTTCCCCATTGTGTGTTCTTGGCATTCTTGTAGAATGTCAGTTGACTGTATATGTGAGAGTTTATTTCTGGGCCCAAGAAGCACATTTTTCAAATCACTGTCGTAGGTGTTGGAAACTGCTAACGTTTGTAACTGGGAGTTAGATGATCAGATTTGTCTTCTGGTTGGATTGCCGTGTCGACAGTGTAGAGGGTGGATTTGTGGATAGCAAGCCTAGAGCTAGGTAGAGGCTGTAGCAGTATTTGAGGTTGTTGGAATGGAGAGAATTGGATAGATTTGAGAAAGTCTTAGTTATCGATTTGATGTGTGAGGGTGAAAAAGAATCTAGGATGACTTCTGGATTCCTACTATAAAGGACTGGATTATTGTGGGGCCACTGACTCAAGGGCAGGAAGAGGAGGCACTTTCTGATGTTTTCTCTGTTCGTTGATACCTGTGTAGTTGTTTAAATCCCCTGTGAAATTAGGATTTCGACTCTGTTTCCTAATTTTAGTCCAGAGTGTATTTAGACTAGAGGACAAGGAGTGTCATGTTTATAAAGCCTGAACCTGTTTCTAACCTAAATATAGTAATAGTTATTGATCATAAAGCACTGGCTGACCGGCAGAAGTTCCCTAGCATTGGCATTTGGAACATTTGTAGTTACATGGAAATTTTTAATTGCTTTCTCTTCTGTTCCTCCTGTTCCAGGGCCTCCATACTACATAAGTCATATTCTTCCTTTTTCCCGTTCTGTCCTTTTTTCTGTTGTCTAGTGTACTAATTTCTTTTATAAAACCCCTCTACTGTGTATGTCTATGCACAGAGATTCACCAAATACTAACTGTGTGCCTGCTGTTAAGCCCGTTATTGTGGACACTCGTGGGTGGGAAATGTGCCTTCCCCAGAAGAGCTTACAGATTGTTGGAGGCTGGACAGGACACATGAATTATCAGTGAATCTTATATCACATCATATACTGATAAGATAAAACCTGTGGAAGAGTTCCCCGATGTCAAAAGGCCGTTATACTTTATCCCTCACAAATTAACGTGTTATTATGAAAATACAGTATTTTAAACATGTATTTATATTTGATTAACCTGTTTCTTAATAACTAGACTGTACACAAATGAATGAGTGTGGCTATATTCCAGTCAAACTGGAATCCAGTAAAACTAAATCCTGAGGGTAGAAGAATCATAAAATAGCATCCTTTCTCTTGAGTTTAAAGTTTAATGAGGAAACAAACCTTTAAATAAAAAATTAAGTAAGAAGTTGTGGTAAGTGTTAAAATGGAGATAATTGCGAAGTTTTCTTGGATAAGAAAAGGAGGGAGCAAATAAATACCTGTGAGCGTTGGGCACGTCTTCACAGAACACATAAGGTTACTTGTAGGCGTTGTCCAAGCAGACAAGCTGGGGGCTGTGGTGAAGGAGACTCCAGGCGGGGAGCTGAGACGTGGAGGAACGTGCAGTGCTTGGGGAGCTTTGGGTAGTTGGGTGTGGCTCCCTCCAGGCTGCTGCAGGCCAATTTGTGGCACCTTCATTCACCGCTTTTGTAGGCCAAAAACCCGAGGAGTCATCTTGACTCTTCTCTTTCCCTTACAATCCGTATCCAGTCCGTTAAGGCATTCTGTTAGCTCTCCGTCCAAAACCCTTCCCAATCTGACCATTTCCCTCTGGTTCCACTGCTACTAACCTGCAGGCTGCCCTCATCTCTCACATGCTCTCTTCCTGCAGCCTCTTGCCTGGTGTCTCTGCTTTCACTGTTCCCCCACAGGAGCAATTCTTTGCATAGCTGTGACAGTCATTTCAAAACTGTAAATCACATCATGCCACCCTGCTCACAGCACTCTAGCTACTCTGCCCTTCTGGCTCTTTCTGACACAGCAAGCTTATTCCTGCCCCAAGCTCCTTGAACTTACACTTCTGTCTCTCTGCAAGTTCCTCCGTCAAATCATTTGGCACATTAACTCACTTCATTCAGGTGTCTGTGCAGGCAGCCTCAGAAAGGCCTTCTCTGTAATCCAACTAAAATATGTCCTTTCCTCTCTGGTCACTTTCTAGCTCCTTACTCAGCTTCAGTTTTTTTGATAGCGTTCACAGTCCTGGCATTATGATGTGATGTCTGTGTGTGTATATTTTTTAAAAAAGTTATTTATTTTTATGTTTGTGTATTTTCTGTTCTCTACACTGGAATGCATGCTCAAAGAGGGATGTCTCGTTCATTGCCATGTCACCTGTTCTTAAAGGTGCCTGGCACGTGGTAGGCTCCCAATTCATATGGGCTAATTAAATCATGAATGAGTAGAGTACTTGTTGGAAAGTGGTGGAGATGAGTCTTTGGAAAAGGAAGTAACATAGTACTTGGTAAGTAACATACTGTTTCACATTATTTTCCTAGCAATACTGTGACATAAGTTTTTCTGTCCTTATTTTAAAGATGAGGAGATAGCTGTTCAGATAGGTTAAGATGTACATGCTCATATAGGTTTTAATTAGTCCAAGGATTAAAAAGATTTTTATTGAATGCCTCTGCCTAAGTGCTAGGTCGAACTGCCATTCAATTTCACAGTCTGACCGATATGAAAGAAGTAATATGATCAGATGTGTGCTTGAGAAAGCCATCTGGTAGTAGGTAAGAGGAATGTGGAGGGGGTTTGGATCGGAAGCTGGGAAACGCATTGGTAGATTGTTACCATAGGGCTGAGCTACTCCAGAGGCAGGGAGGTCCAGAGGAGGGTGACAGTGGGTGGAAGAATTCTTAAGACTGGTGCTTGACTGATTGTGGGCCGTTAGAGAAGAGACCAGAGTCCGAAACCTGCTAGATTATGGGACTGGCGAAGGATGACTCAGAGACAAGAGAATTTAAACAAGAAAAGAAAAAGTTTACTTGTAACAAATGCAAGGGAGTCAGACTTCAGGAGCAATGGCTTGCCAAATAACACAATTATTTAAATGGAAAAAAAAGCTGCAAAATTACAGGGTTACCAAGTACAACCTTCATTGTACACATTCTTCATGGTAGAAAAACTGTGACTTTTTCACATGATCATCCTATTTACAAAGGTTATGACATACTTTTTACACATCAGCATAGCAAAATTTTGGGGTAAAATTGTTTTAGTGAGGGAGTCCAGATTTATGAAAGATTTCATTTGTTTTGGGGCCAGAACCGGACAAGGATGACCTTGTTATCCTGGTCTAGCCCAGGGTGCAGAGTGCATTTTCTCCTGACTGGTATGTGAAGTGCTTAGCCACAGTGGAAACAGGGCGAAGTGTCCATTTTTGCTTCCATTATCCTATTGTCCAGCCTGGAGATGGAGTGTGTGTGGGGATATATATTAACAATCTCAGTTCTGCCCCTGTGGGGTCTGGAGTGCCTCTGTGATCTGTGGGAGGAGAGGTCCACTACACACGTGTGAGTGGGGACTGCAGAACTTGAGTTACCAGTGGTGAGGGTAGAAGGGAGTGCTCAGGGAGAACTGTGGAGTGGGAAATGAAGAATGCCACCCACAGAACCCGAGGCACAGGGAAGGAGGTGAGGAGCCCACAGAAGCCGAGGCACAGGGAAGGAGGCGAGGAGCCCACAGAAGCCGAGGCACAGGGAAGGAGGCGAGGAGCCCACAGAAGCCGAG